CCTCTGTCTGCTGATGATATCCAAAAGGCAAAAATGCGTGCCCTATATATGCAGGGTAAACATGGGAAAACTGATTCCTCTAATGGGATGAATGAAGTGAAGAGTGAAGGTCTGAACAAACCTTCACCTTCTAAGACCAGCTTTTCTCGACCAGTTTCTAAAGTTCCCTCCCAGCCCCCTGAAGAACAAAAGAAGCCTGTAATACTTCCCTTCAAAACTTCTAACGTGCTGGAAATGACTGTTGATCCAAAACAGCCTGTGGCTTCAAAGGAATCCCCATGGGAGAAATGCCAGGAGTTCAAAATCCCATGGCACATGCCGCCAGGTAAATCTGCATCAGTGTATTTCTTTCGCTCCTGCTTTCTGTTTTAGATGGTAGAGAGTGCTATTTAAGTATCCACAATGGAGGAAGATTCAATTGCATCTTTGCAACCATGGCTGACTACTTGCTTTAATTCTCTGTCCCTTATCCCACAATCTTTTTCCTTTTGGAAACTTTCTTTTATGCTTCAAAATTGGGAATTGGTTTAGTTGTTATATGCTCATCCCTCATTACCTAGTTATATTGAAAGTTAAAAAATTGTTACAGATATATTTTCTTGATATGTGATAATAATTGTATAGTCAGGGTGGAAATATTCCTGTTGAAATTTGAAAATATTAGGATTCCAATAACTGCATTTAATTGATTTTGATCTTTTTCTAAAGTTAGTTTCTACGCCTTGATTGTTTTTCTTTGGTATGAACATCAGCACGTGGATGAATTGTACATCCAAGAAGTATACCAGAGAAAATGAAAACCATTGGTTTAAAACTTTAGTGACAGCTAGTCATGGTAGATAAAATTCTCAAAAAGCTTTTGCTAATACACAGTGGTTAGTTCAATCTCTATCATGTTTTTATTATCAGACTGGAGTATTGTATTTCTTCAATAGTATCATGCTGGTCGTTTGAAATAAGTGTGCCTTGAACCAAGGCAAAGGGCATTTAATTCTTCAATGGAATACTCAATTATGATTGATTGAATCCTTGTTAAAGATCTATTTATTTATAAGGAGCTTCAATCTTGAATGACGAGTGCTTCCAAGGTGTAATTATCAGGCTGATGGAAATAAGGATTTTGTTTTATGCCATGAACTTGATATCGGATGTTAAGAAATTGATACTTCTCTGGATATAAGTTGTCATACTATGAGCACTTTTGGTTTAAATATAATCAAAGCAAATATGTCATTGATTTTGGAATATTTTGAAGAGGTATTACCTGTATTAGCAAAAATTGACCGAAGAGGCTTGACGATCACAGATTCGTTGTGCTGTAAAACAAAACTTGCATTACATGCTTTTCTTGTTACCAGCAAATTCTTCTTCAAAAAGAACAATAATAACAACACACAGGTCACTTCAATCCGCTTCTAATGATTTTGTATATCTAAGCCAGTGTTAGTAATGGACCCATTTTTTTATTTGATTATCAGAATAATTCGATTACAATTGGACTATGATTTCCAGCTTAAAAGACAATTCAACATCCTTGTTCAATGCAGACAATTAAAAAACAAAAATTTCCCCATAGCTTGATATTGATATTTTTGGTCAATGTTCTCTTTGTTAGAGTGACTCATGGGTCATCTCACTATTAATTGATCTGCGGGTTTCAGACTGTTTGTCATTTTGCTTTGTATTTTTCTGCAGAAATAAAAATCGACCAACTTTGGACCGTTGCTGCCGGTGAGAGTAGCAAAGAGGTTGACGTGCAGAAAAACAGAAACCGTAGAGAGAGGGAAACATTCTATTGCACGAAGCAGGAGATACCCTCTAACCCCAAGGAACCATGGGATCGAGAAATGGACCACGATGACACACTGACCCCAGAAATCCCAACCGAACAGCCACCCGATACTGACTCCACTGAAACACAGTTCACCCATGGTGAAATGTAAATGGTGCAGCAGCTACTTCTGAACCTTCTTCCTCCCAAATTGGTGGTGCTGTTGCAACCGAGCCGGATCTTGAGTTATTAGCTGTGCTGCTGAAAAACCCAGCTTTGGTTTTTGCCTTAACTTCTGGCCAAGCTGGTAACTTGTCGAGTGAAGAAACAGTGAAGCTGCTAGACATGATTAAGGCTGGTGGGGCTGATACTGGTAAAAAGGTGGAAGAGAAGGTTGAAGTGTCTCTTCCATCTCCGACACCATCGAGCAATCCAGGAACGGTGCGTGATATAGGCTTCGTTGCACTACCTGGATCCACATTTTCATACATGATTAAAAAGAAAATCTACGTGAAAAGGAATATACTAAACCAGGTAGAAAATTATAAGGTTAAAAAGTGTGAGACTTGGTATAAAAAAATGGCAACCAATTTAATGTTAAGATGGGAGCATGACCCACACGGGGAATGGCGAATGGTTTATGTTTATCATTGATGGGTATCATTATCAGGTATCCAGATGGCAATACGTGGCATGTCTGGATCCTCAGCAATCATAGCAACATTTATGAAATTATATAGTACTACAGTTGTACTATCCTAAAAGTTACACGTCCAGAGAATCTATGATTTGATGACATTTTCATTAGTTTTTGGATTCATCTTATTGAATGTGTATATATTTTTTAATTTGCAGAGTGGATGGAGACCGGAGGCTGTGAGGAACCCTTTTTCACAACATAGTCAAATGGAAGACAGAGTTGCCCAAGCTACTGTTGGAGTTCGAACGGTCGTTCCCATTGCCGAACGCCTTCCCGCTACTAGCATGGTGGCGCCACGGCAAGAGGCAAATGGCAGATCAGTAGCTCAACAGCTTGCAGCAGCCATGGCGCAGCTGTTGCCTCAAACAAATACGACGAATTCAGAAAAGATACATTCCCCTAATGTTGCTTATGCACATCATGGTCTCTCTTCCCGTTCTGTTATGCAATCGCCTGCTGGTCTTTCAATGCGGGTAGAAACCATGGTACCACATATACCTGAAAAAGTGCACTCTTCATACTCTGCATCTCCGTTGATGCCGTCGCTGTCAAAGCGACAATCACACCATGCATACGATCCTCTTCAAACACATCCATATTCGACTAGACCCGCAGTAGGAAACATAGGTCCAATCTCTGATCCCTGGAGAGGCGCACAGAGTTTGGGTTCTAATATTCATTCCCAGGCTAATCAAAACAATTATAATGCATCATCGTCGTTTGGGGGATCAATGCAGCCTCAGGTGCGATCGGGCCATCCTCCACGGAAAGAAAATGAGTACGTGGGTAATGATGGTTTCGAGTCATGGAGTCCAGATAATAGTCCAAACAGGTCTTCAGAGTATGCAGCGGGAAGGAACTACATTGAACCCAGAATGAATTCCGGGTGGAGCAATAGAGCCGATAGGCCGTCATGGCAAGGGAATTCTCCTGGGCGTAGGGACCAGCACAGACAGGGAAATAGATGGCGTGACAGAAGATGACGAGGCTTGCTGCCGCTGTTGTTGTTGGGTCGGGAATGTCGGGCTTGTCATCCAAGGCGGGTGTTTTTCCATGGCGATTAAATTCTTTGGCGGTTGTATAGATGGAAATGGAAGCCAATAGGACTAGCTGTAGCTGGACGTCATTGTATGCTGGACATTACAAATGCAATTGCAGTTTTCTGGTTGTTCTCCATTCGATAAGCAACATGAAAAGATTAAAGAAAAAAAACACTTGCCAGATTTTCTCTCTCACGGACTAATGGCTTAACCTTGGCTTAGGAATTTGTTGTAATCAATCTCCCAATCTGCAATCAAATTTTGAGCCTTGCTGCAACACTTGGAACGACAATCGACTGAACATGGAGGGCAGACGGGTAAATAAAATTTGACTCGAAATAATTATAATTTTTAACTGTTTAAGAAACTGATTTTACTAGATTTTTTTAAAATTTAGATCGGGTTATACAGTAAAATAAGAATATTTTGAATAACTAAAATTTTTAATAATCATTGGATTAATTTTTAAATTCAACATCTCTGCATGGTATACATATATCACATATGAAGAAATATGTATGTATATCATATATAATCATATAAAATCATTTGAATTGAAATCAAATAGCATCCAAAAAGGTTGAATATGGAGTATCGAGCTTGTCAATATAACCAGACTTAACCCATCACTTGGAGAATGTTAGAGAGTTCGTTCACATTAATTGTGCAAATATGAAAAGTGACATCATATTAGAAGATGATCACAAGAGCTCGGTAAATATGCCAAGAGACAACAAATCAGAGAAGATTGTAAATGATTCTTACCATATCCGGTGTGAACGCCTATCGAATGAAAAATTCCTACTAATTGATGTGATTAGGTAGGTTGTGATTGACTTTCCTTAGATTAGGGGATTTTGTATTAAATGAAGTTGATCTTAGTTGTTGATGTAAATTGATCATAGTATAATATTATAAATATTTTACAACTAAATTTAAATAAAAAGTCGAATAATCCAACTAAAAAAAATTCAAATAAACTTTAAATTATAAAATAGTACTTGTGAATTACTCGAATTTTTTTTACTCAATTGAATACTTACATCCAATATTGGATATTCTTCTAATGACTCATGACTCCAAATAATAAATCAAAATGGATGGTAAAAAACTAGTATATTATAAAATTTTATTGATAAATAATTATAGGTGAGATGTTAAAAGGAATCAAAGGCGTGAATTATTTGGATGGATTTTAAAATTAAAATATTAGATTATATCAAAACAAAATATAGAGATTAAATTATAAATTTGAGTAAAATTGAGGGGACCAGAATCGTATTTGAGCATAGAACACCGAAATTAATGAAAGCATTAAAGTGGGCCGTGAGGACAGCCTACAAAACGCACCGAGTCTGCGTCCACCAAACGCTGGAAAATAGTAATAGTAATCATCAAGATCTGTTAATGAAGTTCGATTCGAGAAGGGTTTATCTTTCCACTCAAAAGCAGCAGAGCATATTCCTCTATCCTCTATAATAACAAACATTTTCTGGAAATTCGATTTTTCTCATAACAATTCTGGAGCATAAAACACAGAGAAACGAAGAATGAGATTCAGGCTCCAACATCTAAATCCCACCTTCAGATCATATCTCTCAAGAAAACTCTCTTCTCCCAGAAATCTTCAGCACCCAAACTCCATTATGATTCAGTCCCTCGATCCCCATTTCCTAATTTACCCTCAGATTTTCTCCGATAATCCTATTTACAACATTCCCAGAAGGTGGCATTTGGGTCATTCTCTCGATCACCATGATCATCATCATCACTACCACCATAATTTGACCAAGGAAGGAGAAAAGATATTTCGGTTGGGTCTGGGAGCGGATATCGGTTTAGCTACTAGTAAAGCTTTGACCGGGTATTTATCCGGAAGCACCGCCATCATCGCCGACGCCGCACATTCGATTTCTGACGTGGTAAAAACATTTAGTCTTTAGGAGGTTTTGTTTGTTCAAACTTGGAAGACAAGCAATTTGATTTTGATTTTTTTTTAATTTGTAGGTTCTTAGTGGGGTTGCTTTATGGTCATTCAAAGCTGCAAATGTTCCCAAGGACAAAGAACACCCTTATGGTTATTTATGATTGTACCTACATGCTACTCCAGTTTTCCCCTTAATTTTGATCATAGTTATGAATGTTATGCTTGTAAGAGTTTATTTATTTATTAGGTTTATTAATTTTCCTTGTTTTATTCTCAGGACATGGTAAGTTTGAAACTCTTGGTGCTCTGGGAATTTCTTGTATGCTTTTGGCTACTGCTAGTGGAATTGCTTGGCATGCTATAGAGCTCCTAATTGTATGTCCACTTATTTATTTCTACCTATATCCCATGAATCAAAGAGGATAAGAGTAAAATGGGATTGCATTTGAATTGAAATTGGATTGGACATTACAGGGGTTACTGTCCACTTCTCCTGAAGCTGTTCAAAGTCATTCATTGGTTCACGGGCGTAGCCATCATCATCATGGGATTGATATGGATCACCCTTTACTAGCTTTGAATATGACCATTGTAGCAATAGTTGTTAAAGAAGGGTATTGAGCTTCTCTTTTGGCCTATTTCACTTTCGCTTTTTATAACTTATTGTTTGCATGTGTGATTGCTTCTTCTGGTATTAATTTCTATATGTTAACATGCAGGCTTTATCGGATAACAAAAAGAGCCGGGGAAAGGCAAGGCAGTGGACTTATGAAAGCAAATGCATGGCATCACCGTGCAGATGCAATTTCATCTGTAGTTGCACTTTTAGGGGTTGGTAAGACTTCTTTTATGGCTGGTTTGTTTTATTTTTCCTGTATGAGCTTCGTAAGCAATGCGAAATTAAATCCTTGATTTCTAGTTTAATTAACTTCGTGGAATCAAGTTGTGCTAATTATGACAATATATTTTTTCTTGGTTAAAATTTTTCTGATTGCTTGATTATTGTATCTTATATGTAAAACTAAAATTTTAAAATATATATAACATCCTTTACACCCCTTTTACCTTGAAAATCTCTCTGTTTTGGGAGGTGGGGGTGGTTGATGTACTTATGCAAGTGAAATGGAAATTCACTGTACTTGATTTATACATGCTAAACTGGTTTTATCTCCTTTGAATGTTTAAGTCTCTTTATTTGGATCTGCTTGAATTGTATTTAAGCAGACACTCGTTGACCTTATCTTATGCCTTGTCCATCATAATCTAGGAGGCTCTATTCTTGGAGTGAAGATTTTAGATCCTCTTGCGGGACTGGTTGTCTCAGGAATGATTCTAAAAGCTGGGCTGGAAACTGGATACCAGAGGTAAATTGTCTGTTGTCGTTATATATGCTCATCTCTTTTATTGTTTGCTTTGCTATGGTGTTATTTTAGAACTGTAAACTTCCCAAGTGATCGCAGCAATTTAAGATGTACTGGAATCAGTTTGGAAATTGTCAATCATACTGTGATGCTTTTAAGGTCTAAAATTTCACTGTAAAAATAGGCATAATGTCTAAAATCTCTGCATTTGTTTTTCTTCAATACCTGTGTTTTGGTTAGAGGTTCATATTATCAGGTTAATATTTTCTTGCTTGATTAGATTCTTATGTCAGCTGTTTTAATTGTGTTTCCTTGAGGCATAGTTTTCTCTGTTTTATACATTTGTGTTACTAAATGCTGATGATATTGGTAGAGTTGTGGCAAACGCTTGGCTTCTCATTTCATGTTTGTAGTCTTTAATAGGTTCATTGTTTCATTGGAAGCATGCCGACAACACCTACCAAATATTGAAGCTTTGTTTTTAGTGTTAGAGATGATACAGCTATAGACAGCAATGGCATGTTCAGAATTGACATTTTCTTTTTGGCCAACTTTGTAGTGTCCTTGAACTTGTTGATGCTGCAATTCCTGCTGAACAATTAAAGCCCATAAAGCAAACAATTCAAGAAGTTAAAGGAGTCAAGGTAACAAAATTTACTTGTGTAACTGTTAATGAACAGCAGATACAGCTCTAAATGTAAAATAAAACTTAGTAGTGAATAGACTCCATATTTCATTCGCACCCAGAAATTCACTCAGTTCTTTTTTTGCTGTCTTGGCAATCTTCATTAATTACTTCCAAAACTGTTTGTAGGGATGCCATCGCATGAGAGGAAGGAGAGCTGGTTCAAATCTGTACCTTGATGTACACATTATGGTGAGTTTTTAGTATATCTTTTTACTGCCTGTGAAAATTGCAAAGTGGGTTTGGAAAGTATAATATTGCCCCACTTTTGCAAAATCACGTATATGGTGTCTTTTTATTCGACTATAAAACTGTGTATTTGTGATTTTCCTGATGCCCTTTGTAATTTTCTTATTTTTGACCTGCAGGTTGATCCTTTTTCTAGTGTTAGTGCTGCACATGGCATCGGTGAAAATGTTCGTCATCAAATTCATAAATCTCACCCTGAAGTCACTGAAGTTTTCATACACATAGGTACATTACATGATTCTTCATCCCTAAATCAGTTAGTATGAACAAACTAAGATGAGTACTGTAATTTGGGACTAGTGGTTATTAACTATTAAAGGGAGAGAACAAAATGAAGGGAGGATTAAGTAAACAACTTTCCGTTAAGGTAACCACATGCCTCATGTGGATAGTTTATTCTGGCATGGTGATTCCATTGTTTCGGACTTCCATATATTCTTTTGTCTACAGTTTAGCATGGGGGTTCCATCGAACGCCACCTTAAAAAAGGGTGTTTTTTTTTCTTGGAGAAAGCTTAAGGGCTTTCTCAAGTCAACCTTCTCCTTAGGTTTGGTGGCGACTGTAGCTGATCTTGCTAATAATTCAATCTGGGTACAATTATTTCTCGGCTTCTGCTCATGCACCCAATGGAGTTCAGTATTTAATTTAACATTTTGTTTTGCATTCTGGCATAGATAACTGACATCCCAGTAGAGATAAAAACACTGTTTGCTTAAGACCACTTTTCTTTTTCCATTTCAAAATTGTAGACCCTGCATATATAGAGTTCTCCCCTGATGTGATGGACCAGAAAGAATGTTTGGAGACGATCACAGAACAGAATGGTAATATTTCTACCAGGGAAGAAAATGTTGAAGCAATTGTTTCTGGCATTCTCTCATCAAAGTTCTCAGAGGTAATCTTCTCATTTTGTTCAGAGTTTAAACCCAGCTATAAATAGCCATGCCGTAGATAGAGATTTTAAGCGCCCAAGTAGCAAGGCGAAATGCCATTGCAAACACACATCGAGTCATAACCGGGTTCTACACTTTCTATTCGTCAACCTTGTGTTTCTTGAAGCATATATGAATGTTTGCAGAAATTCACGGTGGAGCGCATCACCAGGCACACGTTGCAAGGGAAAATGTTACTCGAAGTAGAGGGTACCATGCCGCCGGAGATTACAATTCGGTAACTAGCTTCCTCTTTGTTCTACCGATAGTGATTTTTATAGACTTTAGCATTGACATTCAAATTCAATGCCCCAATTATTTGGGTAAATGCAGTGAAGCCATGGACGCAGCAAAGGAAGCAGAGAAGGAGATAAGGAAGGCAGCTTCAAACATTGTTCATGTCAATGTTCAGCTGAGACTAGGACGCCCAATTCCACAGTTCAAATATGTTTAAACATGAATTCAAATATTCCTCTTTTTTAACATATGACTTAAGTTACATCCCCTTCTTTCTCTATTTTCTGTAGGTATAGTTGATTTCACATGAATAAAAAGGAGAAGGGATACGAAATTAAGAGCCAAATGATCAGATAATTGTAGTCTGATATCTTTTAGTCTACATTATATTTTATTTCAGAAAAGAATATCATCATCTCAAAGGCTCTGAATCATATATCAGTACTTTTGTAATTAAATAAAAAACAAAATGCGTAGAGTTTAGGAAAGAAGAAGGCTCAAGGATCCATTGGTGATTCTCTAATCAAGAGAGGGCTATGAAAACCCTTCATGAAATAGGTAGGTTTCAAACATCACAGCCTTCTAATCTTATTGAAACCAACAGAAAAAAAAATCAAAAGCTTCATTGCAAGACACAAGAAAACAGAGAAAAAGGAAATGAAAGGAATTCGAAGCATTGGCTTCAGCTGCAGAGTTGGCTATAAATATAGAAAATTTTTATAAAATAGGGTTTAGGGCTTCAAATCCTTATTACGATTCCACCCCTGTGGTGGACGATACTCTCGAAGTCGGCAGATGGCTCATTGCGTTTGGGCTTTTGGTGTTTTTATTATTCCACCAGACTCTTTCTTATTTTGTAAAATTTAGGGTAGCACGACAATTAAATTTAAAGTTAAGAAATAATAGTAAATGAGTGCGATTAACCTGGGATTTTAAGAAATAATAATAATTTTTTACCGCTTAATTCATATTAATTGTTTGAAAGTTAATCATTAAATTAGAGGTTAATGCTCACAACTATATTAAATTTAATTGAATGGGTTGAAGAGATAAGAAAAAAATTACTCACATTTTTAGAATTTTTTTCTAATTTTTAGATTTGTTAATTAAATCCTTATTTATGTTGACCTGATTTTTGACCAAATAAAATTCATTTTGATCATTGTTTGTATAACGTTCCTTGTCAACCTACAGGACAGCGGTGTGCTCAATGTTAACAGCCCCGATTCTTGGGATTGGAATAAGCTGTCAGCGTGTGTTCCGGAGCAAACTTGTATTCGGATTGCTGCAACCAGCTTTCCTCACCTAGGATGACGATGGGAGGCAAACCACACTTTCACGTTCAAATCGGCTTATAAAGCTTTATCCCCCACTTCACAAACTGTCACTGCCGAGTCTTGGAAGGTAGTTTGGAGGCTTAATATACCTCGTTGAATAAGGGTTTTCTTTGGTTATCTCTTCATGGAAGATTGCTTACATATCGGCGCCATACAAGCTACCTCTGCCCAGTGACTTTATGTCAGAATGAGGATGAATATATGACTCATGCGTTCCGTCGTTGCCCGTTCGCCCTTGGTGTTTCGCATCGACTGATTCTTGATGATAGATTCCAGGAAACGTGAATAATCATGGCCACTATGCGGTTAATGAGAGAGACTTGAGTACTCTGTTCGCCGTTATTTGCTGGAAGATTTGGAAGCGTCGATGTGACTTGATGTTTCAGTCTGATTACATTGATTGCTAGGATATTCTGGTGCAAAGTATGCTACTTAAAAAAAATGAGAAAAATAAAAAGTGTTGGCGTCAAAACAGCAAGTCGAGTAATAGATCGACATACAGTGGGGGCTTTGCGAGATATGGCCGTTGCTGACGGGGTCTTGCGAGATAGTCGAGGTGGTTGGCTGTTTGACTTCGCTCCTAGCTTGGGTATTTGTTCTGTGCCGGCAACAGAACTGTGAGCTATCCACGATATTTTGTCATATGTTTGGGAGCTAGACTTTAAGAAAGTCGAGGTGGAAACAGATAGTGCTACGGCGATTTCGATTCGTGCGATTTTGAATAGGGACTAGAAAACAAAGATAAGCCACATTTGTGGTGAGGCTAGTTTGGTTGCTGATAAAGTTTTTTTTTATTAATTTAGTAAATGTAAGGGAGTATATGTACAAAGATAATTCTTAATTTTTTGACATTAAACGTTCACACCCATAATATCTATGGTATTTCACTATATCCCTCCTAATGAGGTGATCGATTTAATTGGTAGAGACCAAGCCTTTTTGTGCTAGTCTTGTGTTTTTCTGTATCATACAAAAAAAATTATAGTCGAGTCTAATTTAAGTATATAATTTTTGGGTTAAGACAAAATGTTCAAAACTTGGTTTATACTTATATTTAAGTTTATACATTTTTTAGATCATTAAATGAATAATAATAGATGAGTGAAATTAAATAAAAATAATAATGAAAAAGTATACTATTTTCAGTTTAAAAGTTTTTAATCCCAATCATTAAAATAGTTTAATCTAATAAAAGAATATAAGATTTAAAAGTATTATACTATATGAATGAGTTATAATATATGTATATATATATATGAGATAGGATACACTTATATATCATTAAACTAATTGAATCTAATAATCAAAACTAATTTTTTATCTTAAAAATAATTCATTTTTCATAAAAAAATATTTTTTTATTATTTATCTCATTCGTTCATTCAATTATTCTATCTATTGCACGAATCAAATGATCTTATTAGTAAAAAAAGTTTTTATTATTCTTTAAAGTCCTAAATTCGAACACCATTATACTTAAAGTATAAACATTCAACGTCAAATAATTAAAAAATATCTTTAAATAGATACTACATAATATTTATCTTAAATTAATTAAAAAAATTACTCAATTTATCCAAAAACACATGTAGAAATATTTCGAAATTGCAATGTTTTTCCTAGCTATTCTGTCTCACAATCAGCAGCATGGGCGGAACCGGACTTTGATTAAGGGTGTCACTTGTCTCAAAATTCCTAAAGTACACAAAAACATTGAAAATAAATAAAATTAACACACTTTAAGATAATATTAGCATTATGTAAATTGTAAAAATACTTAATACCTTTAAAAAAATATATAAACACTACTCAACCCTAAACGTATTCACAGTTTCTCTCCTCCCGCCACCTTAAACTTTTTTATTTTTCATCTTTGCTCTTTATATTAATTATCGATTATTAATATTTTATTTTTATTTTATTTTTATTATTTATTATTTTTAATATTACTATCTTTATAGAATATTTTTTCTGTCTTAATAATATATTTTTTGACATTTTTTCTATCTTTCTCTTTTTATTATTTTAAGGATTAGATTTGACGACGCATCAATCGATCAAGAAGACACTTATATTTTATCCTATTTATCTTTTCTATTTAGGACTCTCATATTGAATTTGGGAACACCGTTTTCACATCGCTCGACTTTGACATATAGTTTATAGGCTTTTAGTAGTTTTAATCTCATTTTCTAGTTTGTTTGTCATTGAAATAAGATCTATTCATATCGTTGTCTGAATTTTTATATTGTGATTTTAACATTTTTTTATATGATCAATGTATGATCTCAAATAATTAATTTTTTATTTAAATAATTATTAAAAAAAATTAATTATATGTACATTGACATTATTTCAAGCGGTTAATTTCTTATTAAAAAATATTAATATTATATATATATTGAAATTTAAATATTACAATCAAAATATTGTTAGTGTATATATGATAAACGGTGCCTCTTAGGTTACAAACCAAAAGGTGTCGGTTGTTTGTTTCAATCATTTAAGAAAAGATTGAACCTTAGAGAAGAAAACACCAGCTTATTTATTATGACCATAGACGAGAAAGAATATCCTCGAGGGACAGCCGATAGCTAAAAATGCAACAAAGAAAGCTTATATTATATAGCTCTTAAACTTCCCAGAGGGGTTTTTCGATGGATGGATCCCCATGAGAGAGCTGTTGCGAGAAAGGGTTCATCATCGGCAGTCTTTGTTGTTGGCTTATTGCTTCCAGTTCCAATCTTTGTTGCTGGTGATGCTGCTGTTCATGCAAGCCGTTTGGCCTTGACCCTCCAATCCCCATGAAATCAAGGGTCGTCATGTTACTACTTCCGCCACCGCCACTGTTCGTTCCGAACATCGCCGGTCCCTGAGTTCTTCCTTGTAACAAGCTAGAGCTGTCACTATCCTCTTGTTCCATGCTCTTCATCAAGCCTTGGTTTTGGTGATCAGCTCCGTTAACCAACATGTTTGCGAACATTCCCATATCGTTCATTGCCGAGCTCATGATTGGGCTGATCCCCATCATGCTCGACTGATCCGTTTGCGGCGCAAAGTGATGATCGTAAGATTTGTTCTGCTGCTGAGGACATGTCATGCTACTAGCAAAGCCTTTTTGCATCATAGGAGAGTTTATACTATTGCTTGCAGTTGCACCCATCTGTGCTGCTTTCTGTAACAAGGCCGTCGCCGACATGATCGGGCAACCATTTTTTACCGTCATGAGAGTAGTTGAGTCCGGACGCACTATTTGAACTAAGTTGTAGACTAGACGAGGAGGAGGAAACGCTTCTTGATCTGCCGAACTGACTGCTCGAACTACTCGAAAACATGCCTCCTCCCATGTCCATGGACATAAACGGCATTGGGACTAGCTCTTGGGGAAGCGATTTGAGCGGGGAACTCGGGTCTAAGTTGCCGAAGTCGGGTACTCCCACACTTGCATTGCCGTTGCTCATCGGCATCGACGGTATAAGCTCGGGTGCCATTTGGTTTTGCGAGTTAGGTCCCATGTTGTTCATTAGGCCCTGGTTTACCTTGTTGTTTTCTTCAGCTAATGCGTCACAGAATGCCCTGTGGGTGATGAAGCTATCTCTCCTGCACAAAGAATAATCAGTGGCATTCAATAAACTATATACACATAGACATATACATTTATATATACAAATTAACCTTGAAAAGATGGTTCCACAATCACATTTGTATTCCCTAGTACCACAGATCTTCTGATGAGCTTTCCAATCAGATTGCACAGCATATTTCTTAGAGCACTTGTCGCATTTCCACTTCTTCTCGCCATGTTTACGGCTGAAATGCTTCTTAATACCGGTGAGATCTCCGAGAGCGCGAGCCGGATTGTGGTGGACGCAGGTGGGCTCGGGACATATGTACACTCGTTTCTTGACCTCGGTTGCTGACCTTTGCTTTAGCTTCCATGGGAGATTGTGACCCCTCCGGTGCAACTGTAGGTTTTGGTCCCTTTGGAAACCTTTGTTGCATATCTCACATACAAATCTATTTGTGGCCATTAGCGTTGTTGGTGATAGTGCAATAACTTCAGCATTTGGATCTGCTTTCAAACAT